ACTACGACTACGACCACGACGACGACAACATAGGGGTAGTTGTGGTGGTGGCAGCGCTGATGGTAATGCTTGGTTCAGTACTGGCCACGACTTCATACTGTGACATTGTTTCCATCTTCCGCTTCAACATCATGGATGGAATCGACTACGAAACTACTTGCGAATGTCAAAACAACAACTCCAAACTTCAAGCCCTGAGCCGGGATGCTAACTCGGGCTTCAGCCCCTGGAGGAGGTGGAAGCCTGTGGCTACCGAGGAATTACACTCAACGGGCTGGTGTCGCATTCGCACGCAATCAAGGCAAGAGCAAGCAGCATGTTTTACCAGGTAGGCATGCGAGGATGTTCCCTGAGTTTCTGGGTTCGGTGTTCAAAGCTCCCAGATCTAGATTCTACTAGGTCTGAATCGTGCAAGCACCCGGGATCCAAGCTTCCAGGACAAAGCGAGCAACCCAACGGAACAGAAATGAAGACTGTGTCAAAGCATGAAAGTCGTGCATTCCTCGTCTGGTAGCATAGCGGGCAAGATCGAGACAAACATGAGCGAGCGGTGTCTTTGCACAGACCACCCCGGAAACGCTTTCAGGCATGCCCGACCTAACCTCACTTTTTAACCTGAAGAAGTACGACCTTTGATATCCAAAAAGTATCATGATCCGAGCCCAATGCTTGATGCCATAGGTGTCAACAGAGGCGCTGGAGTTGGACACTGGCGTTTGACCGATGTCGCCCGCCAGGCCCACTTTGTAGGGATAGTGTTGGCCGTCCTCAGGAGGATCTGTCAGGGCCAGGTAAGCTTTACGACTCTGGGATTCAAGACAAGTTGCGCTTGCATAAAGGCTCAAGACGCTCTTGACGCATGCACTGCAATGGTTGTGAGTTTCGAGGAGATCTGAGCAACATGCGGTGGAACATGCGCAAACGACGTTATCTAGAATTACCAAATCCAAGTATCCTGGATCGCGCTTCATCAGTTCAGGCTGTACTGATTTCTCACGCTTTAAGGCTCCGGACATTTCAGGGCAAAACACAGGTGGCCTGAGGCATCTTGAAGCTGAACTTGCGGCCATCGTTATCGACCTGGCCGCGAGCGAGCTACTTGGGGGCCGGCGAGGCGGAGTATAGAAAAGACTGCCATCGCAACTTTTCATCGAAGGATAACACCAATTCGCGTAGAAAGGCTGAGATTGTCTATCTCTTTGGGCTCCTTCTGTTTCTGGTCAAACCCTGCCAGCTTCATTACTCCTTGCTGTCCATTTGCTGTTTAGCAGAGTCTCGCTGTTTGACATGGGGATGCATGAGATTCAGGTGGTTGATCGAACCGGTATGGAATAAGCTGGGTCGCAACAACTCAGACTGACAGCGGCGTTCGTGAAACAGTTCGGACTGAGTGGCCGTTTTAGCCGTTTTAGCTAGTTGGGCAAGCACGCGTGTATAAATATATATATATATATTGTCATACATATGTATCATCACATATATATATATATATGGTAGAAAAGAATATACACATATGTTACACACGTACCTTTCTCTCGCCTCTCCTCTCTCTCTCTCTTTCTCCCAGGCAGACAGATTACAGATACATAGATGGATGGACGGATGGCTGGATAGGATAGATTAGACGGAGTAGAGAGACAATGACGTACCTTTGCCATGCGTGGTCTATGCTCTCGTAGCAGCAAGTGATATTTCTAGTAACGCGCTTACTGTAATGCGGCAAAACCGAGAATGCCAACCAACAAAGCCCCTCTATACCTGATTCCAAGTACACTGTAGGCCCGCCTGGTAAGTGTACTCCACACCCGGCTCAAGGCCTGGACATCTCTCGCTCTTTACGTGGCGTTCCGGCTTTGGTGGAAGATTTGTTGGCCCCTTGAGCTTCTTGGGGTGCAGGCTTGCAAGTGACAGAGTATTCCGAGCAGCTTTCTGGACTTCCTTCTAATCCGCCGTGCTCGTGCAAAAGGCCAGATTGCTCAAGTTGTGGGACAGCAGCCACATCCATTACTGCTTTCCTCCTTGGGTAAGCATCAAAAGTTTGGAGGATCTCCGAGTCACGTTCACTACAGGCAGGCAAGACACTTTAAGACCACAACCGTCCTAGGGAGTGGGGCACCTGTGCCAAGATCTGGCGTTTCCTTCGGGGGTGAGACAGAACCAGCAGCTCTAGGTTCCGGATCATCTGTTCGCTAGCTCCGACCTCGCAGCACCGTTCATCATACTACTGTTGCTGTTGAGCCAAGACTTGGCAGGCTGCTTGCGACTGTTGCTACGGCTACAGCAGTGGAAGTCATCTGAGCCAAGTCTTGCTGGCTTGGCTTTGCAAAGGAAGGAAGGTCAAGACCGACACACTGGTTAAAGGCAGAGCGAGGGTCACACCCGCGCCTGTGAGCACGACTGTGTGGATGGCCGGAGAATCATATCTTTCCTGACATTGTGCAAGATCTGCACTTAGGGACCGGTCCGCCGAAGCAGTTTGAGCATTCACTGGTGTAAGAAACCACAAGACTACACGACGGAATCCGCTTTTGCAGGCAAAGGGAGCCTGCGCTCAATGGATCAGGCAAGTTTCACCAGGATTCTTGTACCAGCCCATCCTGTCCTGCGCAGCACAGCCAGTTCGCAGTGGCAAACAGCAGGGCGAGTTTAATGAGTGTAATGGCTAGTTAATTGGACACTTAGCCGCCATCCGATGCTCTCCAACAAAGCAAAGTTTACAGTAGCAGCCGCAAGCTGTGCCTCACATGTGGCCTGCTCGGCATCGCATACAAGCTTGGGAGTAAAATCCGAATCAAACATACTGATGCGACAGTACAGCCGAGAAGTGTCAGGCCTCCTCTACCTGCTGCGGCCCGATGACACGGTAGGAGGGATACCTGCATGCATGTATTACAAGTATATTTTATTGTGAAAATCAGGTTTTGTAATTCAATCTGCATGATTGCAAGTGGCGCAGGCTACTTAAAGGCCGACGGCTCTCTCTGTCCCTTGTTGAGTATCGGGGCCCGATTAGTGCAAGGAACACGCCGTCAGCAGTAAGTCAATCAGGAGCGTCAGAAGGTTCTTCTTGTGGCGCAGATGATTTCATACCCTAAACGTCCCTAAACCCTAAACTTTTAAAACCCCCAAACCCTAAAACCCTAAACTTTTTAACCCCTAAACCCTAAAACCCTGAAGCCCTTACATTTTACGCACGGACTTCGTGGCGACTCCAGCTTCCAGCGGCATGCGTTGAACTCGTCACAAGAAGCGCGCCGAGGCGCTTCCATCCGGTTCTTTTGTCGTAGGCCCAGGTGTCGGTGCTCCTCGGCTTAGGGTTTACACTCTCGCAACTCGGACAAGCCAGGCGAAGATCCACATGTGCTTAGGGTTTAGGGTTCAGGATTTAGGGTTTATGAAAGCCCAAACCACGCTGAAGGAAGTCTCGACGCAAGGGCCAACTGGAAGAGGTGGCCGCAATGTTGCACTCAGGGGCTAACCAATGCTAAGCTGCTAATCAGTATCCTCAGCAACACTGCTGAACTGCTGGCTTGGCAGCCACAACCAATAATCAAAAGCTGCGCAGCCTGGAAAAAGGTGTCTGTAAGAGGGCATCGATGAATGACTCGGCAATAACACTAGCAATAAAACAAAGACTCCAGCCTGCTAGGCTTGCTACTGGGTAGAAAGCCTTTTGCTACTTGCCGCATTCCAATTCCTACGGTTGCACTTGACAGTTCACAGAACTATTTCTACGTCGGCACGAAATCGAGCAGGCACCTTGCACTTGTACTGATTAAGTTTGTTATTCGGCACACGTTCTGACAAAAACTCCCTGCATGGAATTGCAAATCCCAGTCGCTTAACACCCAGAGCAATCCCAAATACGAAAGCCCCGTAAATCCTGAACTACGAAGCCTGAACACCCCGCCAGGGAGCATGAGTTTGGCGGCCTGAGCGGGCTGGATCTTACTAGAACACAGTCTCGCGGCCCTATCGGAGTCTTTGTCTTCCGGTGGTCAGCGCTCTAGCCTGGTCTGACGTGCTCTGTGCTCTCTGCAGTTCTTTCTGCTCCTGCTTCTTGCCGTCTTCATTCCTCTTCAATCACATCCATCGTTCAGTTAGTTGCTGCTATGTGCTGCTGTGTCTCGCTGCTAGATTATTAGGACTCTTTCCGGGTACTGCTGTTCGCAGAGCAGCAAGTATCGCTTCTGGCATACCGGTACTCTGCCAGGCAGCGAAGCGTCTCAACCCTAATTTGCGATTCCGTTGCATAAACTGAAAGAACTACGGACACTCCATAACCACACATTCTGGTGTTTGTTGAGCTTCCTCCCAACAAGTGTTGGCTGACCCATGCCATGTGTGGTAAAGTGGGCCTTAGGGTTGGTCGAGTGCCCTGGGATGGAAAGTCTTCGATTCCTGCGGCCTTCACACAGCTCGCGGCATGAGGGAAGAGCAACATCAAAAATCCATAGGAAACAGTAATAAAAGTAATTGTAACCGTAAAATTGACAGTAACAAGGAAAATAAACATAGTAATGATAACAATAGAATCGTGAGAAAAGTAATATTAATGATGCTTGTTATATACTAGAAATGGTAGCAATAGTTATACCAACAGTAATAGCACCAAAAATCCACACCTCCTCGGTGCTCATCCCACGCCCTCCGGCTATCACCGGATCGAAAAGCGCGTGATCTTGGCAGGCAAACAAGGTGTAGGCTTCCTTTAAGGGGTCCTTTAAGGGTTACCATAAGGGATCCTTTAAGGTTTTCTATAAGTATTCTACCACAAATACCGCCAGCAGCTCGAGAACCTTTGCCAGTTCAAGAGCACTGGGTCGGGAGCTCCGATGTCGTACGGCACTCAAGTCTTTTCTGCGGGTTGCTTCGCTTGCGGGCTTCGGCTTGGGGAGAATCCGGGCCTTCCGTTCCGAGTAGAAGCTGCTTCCAGGGACATGCCTTTGGGTTGGGCTGGCTCTTGCGTACAGCATTCAATGCATGTTGAGTATATGTGGGGCTCGGGGTATGTTGAGCTTTCAGGAAAGTGCAAGAGGCCAGCCACGAATCCCTGCTCAAATATTGCATAACTTCTGCATGGACAGGCCAGCCAGTTCTGGAAACCAAGTAGGTCATTGTAAACATCTGAAGTGTGACTCAACGGTATAATAAAAGGCCACTGGAAAATCTTGCCGGCGCCAGCAACTCCAAGCATGCAGCCGCGCTGCTCCAGTACATCAGCCTAGGCAAACAACGCTTTCTAGTCTAAGTGGCTTCGACAAGCCACACAAGACAAGTAGTAATCTGGAGCACGGAAGTCAAACACCCGTGAATGCGAAGTGCCTTGTATAGCAATCCATGTAACTCAAGAAATCGGAATACCGGATTCAGTTGTCGGATGCCAGTACATGCTTAAAGATACATCATCGGATGATTCGAACGACGAGGCACAGCTTCTGCGGGGGAAGCTCCATGTCGGGCTGCGACACCCGAACTGACTCGCAGCTCGGAAAGCAGCTGACATAATTCTTCCGAGTCGCTGTGAGTAGGTGGATGTCGTGCCCCTTGCGGACGAGCTCAGAGATTCACCAGATTTCCCAAAGCGGACGAGCCTGAACCGCTTGGACAGCTGGGTTCGGCGGGGTTAGTCAAAGGCAGCGCGGGCGAGAAGCTCATGCTGTTCGCCAAGCAAGCCAAGGTTTGCGATAGCACTCGATGGAGACATCTTGTCTCACGAATGGGGCCTCCTGGCCAATGAAATGATGCAATGCGAGGCCGATGCAACTATATCCTATAGAACAGGCTGGAGTCCCGAAGCTGTTTCTTGCGCGGCTTGTTAGGTGAGTTGGTTCTGGTAGACTCATCCAGAGCCAGTGGTGACCGAACTCCTCCGACCATCCGAAAGTGGTTTAGTTTGCATATGAGTCCGTTCGGATTGGTTGCCCCGCTAGACCCAAAACTGTGTGCAGGAACCGTTTCGTCTCTTGTTGTGATTTCTGCCAGTCCCACTGCTTGTCCGCTTGCGTCTTTATGCCATCCGACCGAGCAGCGGCTCCGCGGCAGACTCTGGCTGAGACGCCTGGGCGCATTTCAACCGATTCGGTCAATGCAAAAACTTGCCCAACTTGGCCCCCAAATGCGAGAAGGAGCGATGGTGTGACATGTGTCCGTGCAGAGCAGGGAAGCAAGACTTGTGGCAGTGGTACGGCTTACAAGTCGCAGCGTAGCTCATGCTCGTACCAATTATGGCTCCTCAATCACATATCAACAGAAGATTGGGCATCTTTCGTGCAACAATGTCATGCAGTGAGAGATACCGATATCTTGAAGAACCGGTTTGTGGGCTTCACAACAATAGCTTCTTGCGACCATTGTGGAATACTCGGGCACGTCACGAACCGAACGCCAGCGAAAAGCTACTCTGCACAAGGCCATGTCAAAGGTTTGCACTCGAAGCGCTACGCAGCTACACGATGAACATAACTCAATTGTGAAGCACCACGCATACTGGCCTAAATTCTCAAAACACCTCAGGACAAGGATTTGAAGTTTGGTATCGTTACGGTCGTTACGATCGTCAGCTTGCCGGCCCTCTCAAGTCTCCCATCATAGCCCTCAGGGCCGACCTTCAGCAAACCGTATGAAGGCCAGGTCACGAAAACCACGACCATCTCCCCTGGGCCTGCGGGCATCTCTGGATCATGCTTGCTGCCCCTTTTTGGCTTCTGAGAGCAGAGCTCCAGAACCCTTCGTGGCGGACGCAAAGAAAGACGTCGGGGCGAATCGTGCACACTCTGAGCCCTTCGCTGTAATTAGAAAGTCTAGAGACATCGCTTTGCCGAGTCTTGAAATGGAGCAGCAAAACAAGGGACCCTCATGGAGGCCCTCAGTAGCGGGGACCCATCAGCCTCCCAGCTGGATATGTACTTGTCCGCTGCAGGGGGGCTTCTCACAGTCCTGGACCCAGGAGTTAAAACAAACGGGTCGTCAGAGCGAGGGTCTATAATACTTAGACTTATGTACATTTACGTCTTGCACAGCTGAGCGTATAGCTACTCTATGGATCAGTTGGCTCGGTTATTGCTCCCTCTTGGATGTCACAGTGGCCTTATGCAGTTGCAGCTGCCAGCTTTAGGCGAGGTGCCCCCTCGGGTTCGGAGGCTATTGTTCTGTGCGCGTTTTTTTATGGCACCAGGTGCTAAGCCCAAATTGTTCGCACGCCAATGTTACCGCCACCAGCAGGAGCTGTGGACTGGCATTCCACGGGCCATCCTTTCAAGATGTGGGTTGTTGACTTTCACGGCTTTTCTCAACGAGATTGTGACGGATCCGTTGTTGACTCCAACTTCCGGCATAAGCACCAGCAGCAGCTTTGCTTGGAACGAGCCCTCAGCAAGTCTCGCATGAATCTTGTTCGGAGGGGAGAGGCCCGTAGGCGTCTTGCCAGTGCTTCACGGCAAGACCCATATGCCCAGGCCTCATTGACGATGAACTTCCTCGGCCAAGCCATGCATGCAA